ATTGTTAAAACAATGAGAATGACAAAACAGCACTGAAAAACAACAGGGAAAAATATAATATTTTTGGTACCATTCATTGAATAGGCTTAATTGTGCGAGAATAATTGAAAAAAGCTTGACCCCTAATACTCCGTTTGCATTTATGTTATGCTTAGAAAAATTGTCTCATTTATGTACGTTCAAAATTTCTGTGCATTTTAAGCCTTTTCCCATTACTACACACAATCTTTTTTAACATCAAATGTCAAAATACTTGCTTCGCAAATAGATACATTTGTTTCAAGTGTTATAAGAATTATGGCGGTTAATGTCAAACAATTTTTCCCACCAAAACTGATGTTAGAAACTTCAGTATGTCAGCACAGTGTTACGTGTAGTTTTTATCCATATTCAGTGAAAGTTAGGTATTAAATAGTTTGATTCAGAGCTGGATCTCTGAGTGTTAAGGTTTGGCTAAATCCCTAATGCAAAGCGATGCTTTCAGACAGCAATGGAACTGTACCTTGATTGAATCCTCCACCATTAAATCCACGACCTCGGCCCCTGCCACGTCCTCTTCCTCTGCCCCTGGGATTGATTGCCATGTCAGCAGGCGGCCCACTCACCATCCCAAATCCAGCGGGGTGCTAAAATTAGCAAATCAGACAATTATACACGGAATATATAAGTGGAGATAATAATGACACTGAAAAAAGGAAGAAACAGGCATACCATTGGAGGCATTTTCTTCTTCTTGTTTGCCTCGGAGTTGGAGCCTTCTGGGAAGAGCTTCTCCAGGGCTGCAAGTGCTGCGTAGGCCTTTGCCACCTTTTTATTGGATCCGGCACCCTGAAATTTTTGTCCGTCAATCTCCACCTGAAGTCAGGAAGGAAAAATAAGAGAAATGAGAATTCAATATTACAAAAACGCAATATAAAGAACTAGAATGCGTCTCCGAGTTAATGTCCTCACCTCCATGACGAAGCGCTTGTCGTGGCTTCCACCGGTCTCAGAGATGAGCTCGTACTTCAGTCCTCTGCGTTTTTCGTTGAGCTCCATGACAGGGTTTTTTCCATGCTTGGTTAGGATGGGCCCCTGCTGTTTAGCACTCTGAGAAAGCGAAAGAGGAGGAACAAGCTCTTATAAGACTGAACAACATGCCTCATTAGAGGTTTGGTGCAACTAATCAGTCAAAATTAAACCATAATGAATGTCATTTGCACTTTTTTGCATGTAAAACATTACGGTTAAAGTAAAGTAAATTCAGTGATGTTTCTGAAATAATTCTCTTATGCTCAAAAAGGCTGCATTTATTTGATTAAAAAAAATACGGTAAAAACATTAATATTGTGAAAAATTATTACTATTTGAAATAACCATTTTCTATTGTTATACGTCTTAAAATGTTATTTATTTTTGTAATGGCAAAGCTGGATTTTCAGCATCATTACTCCAGTCTTCAGTGTCACTTGATTCTTCAGAAATCATTCTAATATACTGATTTGATGCACAAGAAACATTTCTTATTATTATCAATGTTAAAACAGTTGTGCTGCTTATTTTTGTGGAAACTTTTTTTCTTCCTCAGAATTCTTTGATGAATAGTAAATACAGCATTTCCTTAAAATAGAAATGTTTTGTAACATTATACAAGTTTTTACCGTCACTTTTGATCAATTTAAGACAGAACAAGTGCATTCATTTTTATTAATTTATTTAACCCTTTAACATTTTTATTTGCATTATAAAACTGCCCACAAGACTCTCTTTAATTATAAGCCACTATATGGATACATCTTGTTAAAAAATTAAATTAAATTAAAAATCTCTTTGGTACCTCGTCAGTGGGGCTGTCAGCGGTTGGTGCTGTTTCTGGCTCCATTTGGGTCACAGCGGGCAAAGTCTCCTGAGTGGTCACCGGCTCCTCCTGTTTCACCAGTTCAGCTATCTTTTGCTCCAATCCCGTTGGCAGACCCATATCTTGCAACACCTGGAGAAGGAATTAAAACATTCAGTTTCTAGTTTCAGACTGGTTCATTAAGCCAAAAAATTGATCTTCTACATCAAGGTGTCTTACTTTGACAGCTACGTGTAGTTTCGCAGTGCGTTTGGAGGGACCAGATGCTTCAAAGTTCTTTCCGTCCACCTCTACAGCCATAGTAAACACCGGCACATGAACAGGCCCAGTCTGAGAGATGAGTTTGTACTGTAGACCCGGCTTCAGCTGGTTCAGACGCATCAGGGCATTCATGGCCTGTGGCGGCTCTGCCTTCTCCTCTGGAGCTGAAGGCCAGAAGACAAGTTATGTTTTGTGTGCAATGTTATGCGTAATTCCACTATAAGCAGATTGTGAACATATGAACAGCATTTACATTTCTTTTGCAATTTCTTCTTCTTCTTGTTTGGATTCTTGTCATCAGTAGCCTCCTCCTCCTCTATGGGGCGTTTCATTGGCGGCATGTAGGTTGTGCTGGGTGGGATTTGAACTATGGAGATGAAAGACGACAAAAGTCAAGTTTCTCTCTCAAAATAGATGGATTTGTTACACAACAAATCATCTATCAAGTAAAGAAAAATGTCCACTTCCACTTAATTTTACCTGTATAGTCAATAGGTGTCTCACTCCTTGGTTTTCTAGGCATTTTTGAAGGAAGCGGGTCCATACCGAGCACTTTGTGCAGCTGTCCAAAAGCTGAAAGCCTTAAGGCATGCTGTTAATCAAAAAGATGGCAATGTCACTCATAATGCTCAAATGAGATCTGCACGCAATCAAATGCAAAACTGTAATAAAAACAGCAAATTGTGGACAAACCTGAGCACTCTGGGTGATGTCCTCCCGCTGCTGGCGATCCATGTGACCAATGGCATCTGTTGGCTCCTTTTCGCAAGGGTCACAAATGCCTGAACCTTCTAAAGCAGATAGATTCACATTCAAATTAAGAAATAACAAAAGCATCTTTGTAGTATTCTATACATCACAACGGTCGATTCAACAGTATACAACAGTATGTACAATACAATAGTAACTACTAGGGCTGCACGATTAATCGCATGCGATATTTAACGCGCATCTTGTCAGAAAGCCGGTTCTGTAATCAGCGGTAAATCTCCATCACCTGCGGGCTTTCACATTGAGCAGCATTAACTACACAGAGCCGTTGTTCACTGAGGAGCTGCGCTAAAAATCGCGCGAATATGAACGTGGTTTGGCGCAGCTCGTCAGTGTTAATCGTGCAGCCCTAATATTTTTGATGAAATCTGAGGGCTCTCTGACCCTCCCATAGACAGCAAGGTAACTACCATGTTCAAGGTCCAGAAAAGTACCAAGATGATCGACAAAGTAGTCCGTGTGACATCAGTGGTTCAACTGTAAAGTTACGAAGCTACAAGAATAAATTTTTTGCGCAAAGAAAAGAAAAATAACGACTTTATTCCACATTTTCGTCTCTACTGCGTCACTTGTGGACGCGCGTTCACGACAGTATCATGACGCGAGCGTGTGGCGGCGTCATGATACGCAGTAGAGACGAAAATGTGGAATAAAGTCGTTACTTTTCTTTTGTTTCTTTTCTGGACCTTGAACGTGGTAGTTACCTTGCTGTCTATGGGAGGGTCAGAGAGCCCTCAGATTTCATCAAAAATATCTTAAATTGTGTTCCAAAGATGAACGGAGGTCTTACGGCTTTGGAACAACACGAGGGTGAGAAAATAATGACAGAATTTTCATTTTTGGGTGAACTAACCCTTTAATATGGAGGCACTGAAGATCTTTGTTTATGTGATTTTGACCTAACGTTACACTGTACATGAAGTGTGAGAACAGTTAGCTATTTAGGTTTGTAATAGCATGGACTCAATAACTTTAACGTTAGCTAGTTTTAGCCAGAGATACTTTGCTGAAGCACATGATGGCATTAATGTTCTGCTTGAGCAGATGAAAATTGTAACTTATTGAGTGTATGACAACCAGAAAATTAACGTTTTTGTCTTCATTGGGATTGGGGTTGAATGCTTAGGGACATTTTACATTTTGTTTTGTGTGGGTTTAGAAAATGTAATAAAATAAAATCTATTGCCCATCCTCTCAGGATACCTGGAATCAGTGTTACAAGTACCACAAGCACATCGTTGTTCCATTTTTGTAGCATAAACACCATCAAACCAATGAGCTCTTCGGATCTTCCAATGTGCTGAAACCTAAAGATGTCCAAAGTTTCGCTCCCCGTGCAACTGATACTCGACTGCCATTGGCTCATCTGCGTTGGAGGGGAGGGGCTTACATATAGGTCAATAGGTTGTTTGCAATCACGTGATTCTGATGACGCGCGAAATGCAGCTGGAGGGCAGGAAGTGATTTTTCTCCATAGAAATCACTGGCAGAAACTCAAAATGCCTGTGTTTTGCGCTGTTTATGGATGCTCAAATCGGACAAACCGAGAAACCACAAGGAGTTTTTATCGTGTACAAAAATTCAAGAATTTGACTGAAAAACTCTGGGAAAAGTGGCTTGTAAACCTGCGTCTGCGGTCGGGAGGAGCGAAGCCGGATAATGCTCGTGTGTGCAAATGGTTAATATAAGATAATATATTAAAATATGAATAAAGAAATATAAATAGATACAGGGTGACACTGTCAGAATTCACTGAATGCTAAACGCCACACATAGACACGAAGTAAATAAGATATTGTTTGCAGTTCACGGAATCGTGAGATTGCGATAAATTGAAGTGAGTGACAGCTTTTTAGTGATTAGCGATTATATGAAAGCGCTATTTGCTCGCTTTCTAGGCAGGCTA